GCGGGCTTTCTGCTGCCCATTCACGACCATTTGAGGCAATAAAGTTACCCAAATCATCCCAAGCATCACTTTTCCCAGCTGCTGACATGGTCTCTAACGCACGTTCAACCACCTCGGAAAACCCATCATCATCTTTCTGAACACGACGTCGTACTCCCGCTGCTCGTGATGTTGATGGCGTTGGCTGTGAATCGTCAGACTCCACATTTGTTTCAGCGTCACATGGGGATCCAGATGAGGTCAGCGGCGACGGGCACTTCTACAATATCAAAGACACACATATTAGTTAACAACTAATAAATCATAAAATTGTTTGCATACTTATGCATATACTCACATTTCCTAAATTTGATGTTGTGCTGGCCTCAATTCTCAATGTCGGCTCAAGAAATTTGAGGGAATTGTAAAGCGGGCTCATTGCAGTCCCTCTTCCTGCTCCTTGCCCACTTTTGGTATGTCCTTTTCTATTGAAGGCCGCCTAATATTAATGTTGCTTTAGCAATCATTTTTATGAATATCGCAAAGGTACTTACGCGGAAAGAGCAGCGAAGGCTGTTCCACTTGGCTGAAACTTCCGATCGCGGCATCTTCAAAATATCCGCCACATCTTGCCATTGAGCCTCTCGCAAATTCCTGTCCCTGTATTCAGTGGAAAGAAAATTCCACGTGCCTTCTCTAGCTTCTACTTCTTGCACCAGCCTCTCCGTTCGCTCATTTGTCCACTTTTCCTTCAGTTTTCGCACCCGCTTCTTCGTTCCACTGGTGCTACCGCTTGGGCTAACGAACACTGAGGAATCATTGGAGTCCATTGCTTCACTCATATTTTGACACTGAAAAGCACATTGTAAAACATTAATATGTTAACTTTTAGAAAAATATTGAAAATTTTACCTTTGCTGCAAATTGATGCAGAAGAAAAACAGCTGTGCACGCGTCAAACGAAAACAAATTGCCAACATGCTGGCAAATTAATTTTAGGTGTCAAATGCTGCCACATTGGCGGTCAAATTAAATAAGGCCGTTTTCACTTGGCTGTCATTTTATATGACCGTGCGTGGTCATACATGACAACGAACGCATTTGATGCCATATGACAACCCGTTTTCATTCAACTGACAACATTTGACGTCAAATATGACATAGTGAAAACCAAACATTATACCCGTAATAATACGCACTACTCTGCTTATATCCTGCCGGGAAGCTGGTTCCCATGAAGACGGTTATCTCCTCGATCTTGCTCTGAAGCCCGTTACAGTTAAATTGAAGGA